AGAAACGCAAAAAACCCACATGGCTCGACCGTTTCATCGCTTCGAAAAAGCGAACAACATTATCATTGTCATCGAGTGACAATTCTGACCGTTCTCCACCTGCTGGTGACGTCGCCGAGATCGACATTTCCGGTGAATCGAGCATCAATCTTACCGAAAGTGTAGCCGAAACAACACAGCCGAAGCCCAATAGTGCTACAGCTATCGAAAGTGAATCAACCGATTTGTTGTTCGATGCTCGACCCGAGACACATGATGTGGATATCGGCTATCACTTGTCGCTGAAATCGTCCATTAGAGATGAAATAAAATATCGTCTTTTGAAGGAACCATTTCAACCGGACAAGAAATATCGTTTCCCTGCCCGGCAGGAGAAGGACGCTGTTCGTCGTTTTGTTCCAGCCTGGCTCGACGCTCATCCATTCCTTTCATACTCCCCTTACTACGAAGGTGCTTTCTGCGCCCCTTGTTCTCTTTTTTCGTCGTCAGCCAGTGGCCAGCCGCTTGGTATTTTCGTTCAATACCCATGCTCACAATATCGTCATTTCAAGCATTTCTCAAGGCACGTTAAGGGTCATCAAAATTCAGAGTGTCACAAGGATTCACTGACTCGTTCAAGTCATTTCATTCGCACATACGAAAATCCGGACACTGCTATCTCGTACCAACTTGATCATCGTCGATTAGAAATGATTGAACGAAACAAAACAATCCTTTTGTCGGTTATCAAAGTCATTATCACTTGTGCTCGACAGAACATCCCACTGCGTGGCCATCGTGGTAAGTCAATAGCCTGATTACAAGAAAATCGAGAAAGCATTCTCCTTCATTTTTGTCATGTTAGATGAAACGATAAAAGCCATTCGTGATCAGCTTGACAATATTGATAGTACAGCCGGCTCGAACTTCATTGCTTTACTCAAGCAGCGTGTCGATGCCGGTGACAATTTGTTACGTGATCATCTCCTGAAAGGCCCACGCAATGCCGTCTACACAAGCGCTCCTTTTCAGAACGACATAATTGAAATAATTCACGAACACGTATTGTCATCACTACTGGCCCGTGTGGACTCATCGACATTGTTCTCTATTATTGTTGATGGTACCACAGATGCTTCCACAGTCGAGCAGCTGTGTTTTCTCATTCGTTTTGTTGACAAAAACACGAAAGAAATTCGAGAGGATTTCTTGACCTTTATTCCTACTTCTTCATGTACGGGCCAAGCAATTGCCGATCACATTCTCGCCTGTTTTACTCGATTTGGACTTCTGCCTGGCAATTGTATTGGTAAGTTTTTGGACTACATTTTTTTCTATGCTCTATTCGAATATCGAATATTGACTTCTTTGTCATGTTCAAATTTTTCAGGACAGGCATACGATGGAGCTCCCAACATGGCTGGCATTCTTAATGGATGCCAGGCCATAATCAAGCAATCATGTGTCGAGGCTGAATACATGCACTGCAGCTCGCACGCACTTAACCTGGCTCTTGTCGATTCTTGTTCATTATCCCACATACGCAACATGTTTGGCACAATCAAATCGGTCATTGAATTTTTCAATGACTCAGCCAAACGCACTGATGCACTCAGAAAGGAAATAAGTCGACCCGACAATGAATATATTCGACTCAGCAAAAAAACTCGTCTCATTTCTTTGGTGAGTTAAGGCTTTCCAAAAACTGAAGCGACTCGATTCTGTTTCTCAATCATGAGAAAAAAGATTTGATTTTATCTGATTTATCGATATATTTTGTTTATAATAGTGTGAAACACGATGGGTCGATCGTAATGTGGCGATCGAAACGTTTCTTGAGCTTTATTTACCAATCGTATTTACCCTCGATACTCTGCGAATTCATGGAGACACTACAGCCGAACAATTGTACCATGCGGTAAACAGTTTCCAACACATCATATGCACTTGTATCGGTTGCTTCCTTCTGAGCGAAATAATACCTCTCAGT